CCGCCTCACCCCGCTACACCTAACATTTCGTTATCTCAAATCATTTAGTATGTAGATAAATGAATTTAACTACGCAAATGAAATTTAAAATGTTAAAGTAATTTAAAATATTATGCTATTTATATGAACAACGATTCTTTAAAGTAAATATTTTTCATTATAAAGAGATGAAAAGATTCCTAATTTCTATTGTCACTAGCCAACAAATTCGGCAAGTAAGTTTTTCTGTCATAAAAGAAATTTTAAAACACTTGTACACACAATTCACAAGCAGTTGAAATAAATAATTCTTGTACCAACTGTTAGGAAGAAAATCCGATACTGTGCCAGTGTATCGGCGCAACACTAGCCTTATTAAAATGTCAACGTTTATGTCCCCTCACTAATCAATCTGACACTTGACTTGGTAACAAAAGCGCGCCATTTTCTCTAATTGATAAGTTATTCGTAAAATTTAGACATTATTATGACATTATTGTCAAAAATTTTAGACATTATGTCTAAAACTACATTTTTCTATAATGTCAGGTGACAAAAAAGGGCGGTACCGTACTAATAGTGGGTGTGGGTGATACAACAGTGGAGGTCCCGCTGTCGGGCACCGTGCTCCGCGAGATAGACGTAAAGGGATCCAACAGGATACTTAACACGTATGTATTGTTTTACCCACCAGAGTACTTAAGTGAAGCTTTAGTGTTGATTAAATAAATAAGTCTACACTAAAACTTATCGACCTATTAATTCTCGAGTATTACATTAGTACTAGAGGTAATTAAGTTTTTTAATATAATTTAAAAAAAAAACTATTAGCGTACACAACAAAAGAGTTCAGAGAACAGGATGGTTCGGCCTCGAGTTGAATCTGGATATGCGAGAAACCTTTGAAAAAGAAAGTCCATATGCAAGAAGCTTGGATTAAAGCGACACCCATATAATAGAGAAAAACATCACTTGGACACTCGCTTATTTAATTTCGATTGTGTTTAATAAGTATAAAACATTTTCCACAGTTACGGTCCAGCGATAGCTGCAGTGTCCAGTGGCGCTATAGACCTGAAGCCCTTCATCACTCACCACTACCCGATGGAGAAGACCGAGGAAGCCATCTTACTCGCCAAGACAGGCGCTGCTATGAAGATTATTATACATCTCAATTAAATGAACTGGGTTCTTTTATTTCTTCCCTCTACACCGCTACTGAGCAATTGTTTTATTGAATGTATATCAAATACCAATTCCTTGCATCTTTTAAGAACATGTCTTAAGGTACATTTACACATATGCAAAATTGTGCTTTACACAATTGAAATAAGTTTTAATTTTGCTTTGCACGTCTTTTCTTTTCAAGAGTGAACGTAAAAAAGATTTGAATAGTAAAATTAAACCTTATACTAATTCCATAAAGTTCATTTTCATTTGCAATAAAAGTCTGCTTTTTCACTCCGATCTTTGTGAATACGTTGAAGGAAAAATTGTCATTTTTATCATATTTAGGAATAATAAAAAGATATATACAAATGCAACAATTTATTAAATTACAAAAGTTATTCGAATTCATTTAAAATATACAAATTTTTATGTCATGCTTTTAACTTTTATATTAATAACGTGGTACGTCACACGCGGTACGCGGAGTGAGAGAGACGAATGCATCAGTAAAGTACAAGTGTGAAAGAGAGAACTAGCTAGAACAATTCAGTTGTTAAATTCTTGTGAAATGTGCAATGCTTTTTTATTTTATATATCACAACTTATAATAATAATGTCAGAGAAAATGTATTAAAAATAAAAAAAAATCTATTTAATTTTACACTGTGTTCTTGTTAAATCTTATAATTTTATTTTTTAATTTAAAATAGCGTCATCAGTCTATCGAGATAACATATCTTAGTACATTTTATAAAAAAATAACAAAACTTTATGAATATTATGTTTGGTGGGTCATATGAGGTTAAGTTTGGAGGTCTTGAAGACCCCAGGGCGGGTGTTGAGTGACACCGCGGTGTTGCTGCGAGGTACAGGCATACTGCCAAGTCTACTGCCACCTACGAAAAAAACAGCATTTAAAAAAACATAGGTTATAAATTCTCTAATAAAAAAAAACAAAAAAAATATATTTTACCTTTTTTTGTTATTAATATTATAAATTATTACTATAGTTATAATAATATAAGCATGTTTGTTTGACACATTTTTGATATAAATGTTCAGTGTACGAATTTATATAGAAATTAACCTTCTTGGTCATTATGCATAAAAATATATTATATGTTTGTATGTATGTATGTTTGATAAATAAATAGTAATATAATGTAACATAATAGATATGTGTAAACAGACCAGCAGCGGCGGAAGCTCCACGTGCGGCGTACGCTCCCCGCACCGCCTTCCTCTTGCCGGGCGACGAGCGCTTGCTCTTGTATCTACCATGAAAACATTTTTATTATTGTATAGCTGCCGCTCGCGATTCCGTCTGCACGGAATTAAAAACTTAATGTTCTTCCAGACTATGTTCTACGTCTATGTCATTGGAGATTCCTTCTAACAAACATCCATACATCTAAACATTCGCATTTATAATATTAGTAAAACTATTGGTGCTGGTTTCAGCGCTTCAAGCGCTCTGGGTGAGATTTCCACGACTTCCCCTCTTTTACTACGCCTTTGAGACTTTTTTTATATCATAAGGTGGCAAACAAGCGAGCGGCAACCTGAAATCGCTGAAATAGCGAAGTTACCGTTGCCCATAGACATACGCAATTGCATATGCGTTGCCTACCTTTGACTTAACATTGTTACGCAAGACTTATTATTGGCAGACTCGTGGAGCCCTTGTCTTTTCTCTGGACGGTCGACTAAGCTTACCCTGATGCTTGTACTACATATTGATTGTGTTTTAATAATAAAAGGATGTGATAGTGACCTCTTCCTGACACCTCCCCGCGTGCGCTGATGTCTGCCGCGTGGTGTGCGACGTCGTGCAGGTGTACCGGACTCCCTTAATGCAGCGCACGCCTCACTGCCCCAATCCACCTCCGAACCAGACTCAGTGCTCTTGAACTCTTCCTCCTCCTTCTTCTCCTCAGCCTCCAACTCGTCCTGGTATTGCATTAAAAGACCTGGAAACAGACATGTTTTAAAATTTTTAGAAATATCGTGTAACAAATTACAACGCCATCTATTTAAAACTCGTGTAACTTTTATAAATCTATTCCAAAGATTATCTCGATTGACACCCTGAGGTCCAAGAGAGATCTTACTACGGGTCTATGATGACAGAAAATACAAAATTAACCTATACAAATTTAAACAAAACTGATATATAAACACTCACGTATATTCGTTCCGTTTACTCAGTGAGCTGAGGGCCGCGTCCGCGAAATAATACCAGTACCACGCATCCTGATGAAGGGCCCCCGATGGGCTCGAAACTAGTCGGTGCCGCCACCGGACGAATATATTTGAGTGTTTAGCCGTGTTTACATATCAGTTTAGTATAATGTCTCACGAAAGTTTGAATAATTTAAATTTGAACAACACCGTAAACAATGAAATTATAAAAATAGTCAGCGAGAAAAAAATAATTTGAAAACCTCAAGTCAATTTTTTTTACGTTAAGTTAACACTTTCATTTAAACCATGCCCCGTATGCTTATGCAGTTTGACTGCAGGTGATCCGCTTTATATAAATACAATTTAGATGTTTATGTCTTATTTACTTATCACATAAAACCACGTTAGTAAATAGTTAACACGTTAGCTGCCATGTCGGACTATATGTCCGACAAGCTAATGTTACAATCAGGCCGTGTCGGACTATGTGTCCGACAAGCCATACTTCCATTCAACACCTCGCTGTGACTTTTTAATTGAATTGTTTTATACAGCGTGTCCCGCAAGGCCCCATTGAAATGGTTTTGGATAAAATTAATAAAAAAAAATTTTTTTGGTTTATCGAAAAATCATTCTGACAGCTAACGTGTTAAAGGCGTATAAATGGTGTACCCACCCATCTTCTCGTGCGAGTAGGCGGTGGTGATGGTGAGGAGTCGTGCGCCGTACTTGTCGTAGTTAGCGCGTGTGACGTGCGGCAGTGCCTGCATGTGCGCCGCGCTCTCCGGCAGCCGCACCGACATGGCGCGCAGTGCTGCCTGCGGGAACACCGCCGCCAGCGACACGCCGCGAGCTGCACCCATCTCCCTGCACACACATACACACATACACACATACACACATACACACACATTGTTAGGAACTAAATCCGACACTGTGCCGGTGTACTGGCGCAACACTAGCCTTACTAAAATATCCACGTATTACATATTTACTGTAACATTATATTGTCGTTAACCAAATTTGTATCAATATTTATGTATGCGACGTGAAGTTTATCAAAAATTTCATAGTAATTTTGATATAATTCACGATAACGATTTGAAATCGATTGTCACTAATATTTGTCTTAGACCCACAGAATGGAACAAGTTTAAGATTAAAATAAAAAAAACGTAGAATAATTAATACGAAATGATTACCAAAACACCTCTATTATTATCCATTGTTGTCTTTCTAAAAGTCAGCGAACCAAAATGTGGTCCTTCGAAGCCGGATGTACAGTATGATCCTTCGAGCCGGATGAAACTTTTTGACACACAGTTTAGAGCACTTAACAAGTTTATCTCGTTAGTAATGACCTGCAAGCCTCCACGAGGTCAGCATAACATCGCTCCTCGATGCGTTTGATGAGTGCGCTGATGTGAGTGGTGTGTGAGGTCGCGGTGCTGGCTACAGGCGCTGTCAGGCTCGTCTTGCGCTCCGTCTTCATGGGGAACACCACACGTAACCCGCCTGACATCAGTCTGTAATAATATACAGTTTTAATCGAAGAAATTCAAATTTTTTATACTAGTAAATGGAGAGAAAATTTTCCTTTTGCTCTATGTATATCTCAGCATAAGCAAGAGTGACAGTGACACTAAATATATAATAGATATACAAAAAATTTCAGAGAAAGTAATTTTTTAAGGATAGTTAACACAATTTTATAGTAAAAATTATTCTTTCCATAGCGTTGTGTGTATTCCGGCTTCTGAGCTTTTTTTTTAATTTGAAATGTGTGTATTATTGTGTAATTGTGTAATGACGTAGATGTACAGACTTGTCGACGTTAGGTCCGAGCTGCAGGTACGCGGTGGCGATGTCGTTGTTGACGACGAGGCGCTCAGCCAGCGCGCCGCGCACCACCAGCTGACGCAGCAGACGCTGCGCCGCGCCGCGCTCCCACGACTTGCATCTCATCATCATACAACACATCTCATATTATACACCTCGACACTTTGTAAACTGACAGAACATATGACAGAAACTCACTCACTCACTAATTTATTTCTTCTTAATCCTCTAAATTCGAAGGCAAGACATATCATTATTACAGTTTTTTACGAACAAAGAAAGATAGGATTTTGCTTCATCATCAGCTCACTATACATCCCCACCGAGGGGCTCGGAGCCTGTCCTAAGTTAAGGGTGATTAGGCCATAGTCAATCACGCTGGCCAAATGCGGGTTGACTTTAAACATATCTTTGGATTTCTTCTCAGATATGTGCAGGTTGCATCGCGATGTTTTCCTTCACCGAAGAAGAAGGATTTTGCTTATTAATAAATAATATTGAAAGTGTTCTGATTGGTATTCTTGAAGACCTGTCATTTACTATTTCTTTGTTTCACCCACTGAAGCTAGCTAGTGTAGTTCTCACACTTAACACTTAGTCACGTGTAAGTTAGGTGATGATGTAGGTGTAGTTGTTACCTGCCGTGCAGCGGAGTGTCGCGCAGTTCCGCCAGCCGCTGCTGGTTGGAGCCGCGCAGCACGTCGGCCAGCTGCAGCAGCGTGAACCTCGTCCTGTTGCTGCTCAGCTGACGCACACTGCGCACTATCACCTTGCACTCCTCCGTCACGTCCACCGGCTAGACAACAAACAAACAAACATACTCCTAATTCCACCACAGATTAAACAGTACACAAAAATGTTTATATCAATATTGTAAATCTTACTAATATTATAAATGCGAATGTTTACATGGATGGATGTTTGTTGGAGGTCATCTCCAAAACTGCTGCGTGGATCTTGCTGAAATTTAGCCTAGATGTAAAAGTCTGGAAGAACACAGGCTACTGATTAAGTATTTTAGGTTCGTGCGGACGGTGTCGCGAGCGACATCTAGTGTCACATATAAATTGTTCAAAACTCAGTAGATATTACACTAAAATAATGTAAATTACACAAAAGGTAGTACAAATTACACAAAATTTAGTACACAGTACACAAACTGACCGTGTAAGAGCGTGCGCTGAGACAGTTGTCGCAAGCTGTGAGAGGATCCTTCGCGCACTCCTCCTTGTTGAACCTCTCCCCGAGGTATGAGAGGACCTGAGCACGCCGGCACTCTGTCACACTCTCGCACACCTCCACCATACGCAGCAAGTTCTCTACGTGCACGCGCTTTGACTCCGCACTCGCGTTGCGCTCCACTGACAAAATCACTCACACTCTTTAAGTGTACCTTTAGTGTTGATTAACTTCTGTTTACAAAATGCACTAAATTCAGTAACACAGTGTATAAAATGAAGTACACTATACATTAATATTAGTATGTTTGTTCACATCGATTTGAAAAATTCTTTCATTGTTTTGAAGCTACACTCTGAGTGACATCTTACTAATACTATGAACGCGAATGTTTGGATGGACGTTTGGATGGATGTTTGTTTGAAGGTATCTACAGAACGGTGGAATGGATCTTGTATAAATGGATGGAGAACATAGTCAGGTAGAACACATAGGCTACTTATTTCTTACTACTGTTTTTTTTAATTTCGCGCGGACGGAATCGCGGGCGACAGCTAGGTCATATTTGTTACTATTTTTTTTTAATTTACGCGAATGTAGTGTATACTCACAGTCGAGCAGCCGCCTGTACCTCATGACGTCGCTGTAGGAGTAGTACATGAGGCAGGTGGCGAGGTCTCCGTCCCTGCCGGCGCGTCCCGCCTCCTGGTAGTACCCCTCCACTGACTTGGGCAGGCTGTGGTGTATCACGAAGCGCACGTCCGCCTTGTCCACGCCCATACCGAACGCGATCGTCGCGCAGATCTGTACATTTTACACTATTCCAGTCCAGCGAAGTCCATTGCTGGATTACGACTGGAAATATGTACATAGGTAAACATATTTTCCTAGCGGACTAGGCATTATATGTTACTAGGCATTATATGTTTTATAAGTAAATTTTGTATGACTTTATTAAATTGATTTATTGAATGTAATACATATAAGTGTATACATACAACTTTGTACTTGTCAGCGACCCAGCTGGCCTGCACAGTCTCGCGCTTCTTGTCCGCGAGTCCGGCGTGGTACGCGGCCGCCTGTATGCCCGCCTTGCGCAGCTCTGACGTCACCAGCTCGCACTCCTTGCGCGACAAGCAGTACACTATGCCCGAGTCTCTATACATTGTTGTTCAAAAACAAATATCTTACGATACAAATACAATATTCACACCAACAAACTAAATAATCCGATACCAAAATAACTAGAGAAACGTCAAATTCCATACATGGCAGCTATTACGATTTTTTAATGTAAATTATATGAAGAAATCTATACTATAATAATGTTATAAAGCGAAAGAGTTTGTTTGTTTAAACGCACTAATCCAAGTACTGGTTCGATTTGAAAAAATATTTTTTTTGTTGGATAGTCCATTTATAAAGGAAGGCTTTAGGCTATATAACATTACCCTGCGACCTATGGTTTTTTTTTAAATTCAGTGCGGACGGAGTCGTAATAATATAAGTGGAATAAGTTAGAATTTTCGAAATTTTTGGGTAATGTGCAAAATATGGTTAAGAGTTTGTCTGGAAAGAAGGTATACCTAAAGAATTTCTCCTTGATAATATTGGCAATATCCTGATTGACAAGTTTGGGTCGTTTCTCCAGAATCCTGTAGGCGAGGTTCGGCCTGTTGAAGCTGCAAAGGAACCACTTGCAAGCGGTGACTTTCAGCTGGTGCAGGATGTCCATCCTGACGCGCGGGGTGGCGGTGGCGGTGAGAGCCATCATGTTGGTGGTGGGGTACCGCTCCCTCAGGATGAAGAGCCGCTTGTAGTCAGGTCGGAAGTCGTGCCCCCATTGAGACACGCAATGAGCCTCGTCGATAACGAACCTGGAAAACGAAGTTAGGAACCTGACACCACTTGCACTTTTTGGCAACGTTCGTCTTACACCATATATTCTTTACACAACATGTATTCATATGTCATAAAGTAGCATGTATGTAGTTTCGACAAAACTAATTTATAAAATTTTAGTCTGTCTGCGTTTGTTCCGGGTAATTTCCGGAACAGACGGACCGATTTTGATGGGACTTGGACGTGAAGATTGCTTATGTACGGGAGCATGTTATAGGCTATTTTATTTTGAATCCTGCGCTGATGAAGTTGCAGGCCCCCGAGATTTAATAATAATCTGACAAACTCGTAAAGTTTTAAGTTCGTCGTTTAGATGGCACTATAAATATAAATGCATAGTAGAAATATAGTTGTAAACATACCTTGCTATCTTTCCCCGGGCGTACAATGTGTCGAGCATGGCCTGGAACTTGGGCGAGTTGCTGATCTTCTCCGGCGTCACGTACAGCAGCTTGAGCGGCGGCTCGCGCAGCGACAGCTTGTGGTAGATGTCGTCGCACGCCGCCAGCGACACGTCCCCGGACATGTGCGCCGCCGGGATCTACAACGCGTTCATCATTCACTCATTCACACATTCACTCATTCATTTGGTCATTCATTCAGTCATTCTTTCGATCATTCAGTACCCTTACACGTAGACATGGCGAGGTTAATTGAAACTCCTATTGTATGATTACATCGCGAGAATCACGTTTCTTCATACACACAAAGATGAATCGTTGACGCGAATCGTCTATTCAATTGATAGACGTAGCGACTACTTGTCAAGTGTATAGATTTGCTGCACCATCTTGAAAATTGCAGCGACTTTTCTCACGACGATGACAGATAAAAATGTCGGCGACGTGCACTGTATACGAACCTCTATAATATATTTTTTAACCCTTAATACGATGGTGTCCAGTGTGACGAACAACTAATTAAAAAAAATCTACTGAACTAGGTTAGAGAAAATGACGTAAGTATGACTTTACTAAAAAACTGTTTTTTTGCTACCAAAAATTTTGTCGACTTAAGGGTTAAGACTCTTAGCGACTAAAATTGCCTGGTATCGAAGATTTTCGTTGGCTTGTGAACGTAAGGCCTTAGTATTGTGTTCATATACTCACATCTAGTGAGAGCAGCTTGTTGACCTGGTCGAGTATGAGAGACTTGAGTGGAGACACGACTATTGTCACGCCCGGGCTCAGTATTGCCGGCAGCTGGTAACACAGCGACTTACCTGATACATACATTATTGTATGACTAACATACACAGTCATACAAAACCAAACCAAACAATGTAAATGATTCGTTCGTTCTTTACACGCAACTAAAACTGAACGCGGTAACACGTTTGTTGTCTAATTAGCTTAAATATTTGTTTTTAGAAGGCAATTTATTTTCAAAGTTAAAAATATTCCTTTTTCTAGCTGTTTACATAGCTATGATAAATAACATACGATTGCGATTAACCAAATTGTAATTAAAATCTTACTACTTATCTAATATTATAAATGCGAATGTTTAGATGGATGGATGGATCCATTAATGGATGGATGTTTGTTTGAAGGTATTTTCAAAACAACTGCATAAATCTCTCTGAAATTTGGAATAGATTTAGAGCATTTTCTAGAAGAACACATAGGCTACTAATTTATTTATTTGACGCGGACAGAGTCACGGGCGAGAGCTAGTATGTTGTATAACTCACCGCCGCCTGTGGGCATAAGCACGAAGCAATCGTGTCCGAGCAGTGTGGCGTTGATGACCTGCAGCTGGTTGGGCCTGAAGGACTTCAGACCGAACTTCTCTCTGAACATCTCCATCATAGGTACAGAGTGAGGGTAGTCTGAGCCGTCAAATTCACCTACAATACAAACATAATACTATTTATCTACTTTCCATAGAACTATCTAGAAGACGTACAATACAATATTTTTGGTAATGTTTAAATTATAGGTCAAAAAGCGATTTACAAAAAAAAAAATTTTTCAGTGAAAAAAAAAATTTTTGTAAAAATTTTCAGTGAAAAACGAAGATTTTTTTTGTAAATTATTTTACGAAAAAAAATGTTTTTTTTAATTTTTTTCAGTGAAAAAAAAGATTTTTTTTCCCTTAAAAAAATTCTTCACACGAATCAATTCCATTTTACATTTAGTCCCGAAAGAAAAAAAATATATATAATATTATAATTTTAAACATGAAATTGAAAAACAATAATATATTTTCTAATACCTGTGATTCCATCATTTTGTGTTCCTGCATGAAAATCACCCATCCCTTCGTATTTTGTCTCCTTAACAACTGATTGTTCCATCAAATCTATTACGTCTCTTTCAATTGGTACATCGTCTTCGAAATCTTCTACTCTATATTCTGGCCATCCATCTTCATCTATAGGTATGTCTTTATTATTAATATTAACAGTTCCACTATTTGGCACTGAATCACTTACATCTATAACAGTTGTAGAACTTTCTTGTATGTCTGTTTCATCGTCCATATCTATAGGTATTTCGTAATCTACGTCATCGATTACGTCATTATCTTTTACGTCTGATTCATCAAATTCCAAAGAGCTATTTATATGAGCTTGAAATTTAACTGAACTATTTTCTATCGGCACAAATTTTATCGGTTTTATTTCAGTTAATGGTTTAAGATTTTCTGCAGCATTCTTTAATCTTTCTAACGTATTAGATGGTACATCTTTTATAGGTTTAACTTCGTCGTTCATTTTAGACGGTCTTTTAAATACGAATTTACCTTTACTTTTGTTAACACTATCTGTATTAGTACTGTCTAAGTCTGATTGCATACTAGAATCTAGATTATTAGGTATCGGTGACGCTGCATCAAAAGATAAAGCTTTTTTAGCTATAATTTCTGAATAAATAGTTTTATTTTGTTTATTATTGGTATTATTAAATATATCAGGGGTTGATGTTTCAGGTTTTATGTTTGATTTTTTTTTATTAATTAATTTACTTGATACCAAATCAAAATCATCGTCTGTATCTTCATCACTAACATGTGATTCAGTATTATCTTGTGATGTTTTTATACGTGATTTTTTATTAATAATACATTTTAATTTAGCACTTATATGTTTCATTTCTGTATAAACTTTTGAATCGTATCCTGGAAATTTTTCTTTTATACAAATCGGTATTCTATCAAATGCGCTACTTATTTTTTCTAATAATTCTATGTACATTGATTTACAATCATCTAAATCGTTATTAATATCACAGTTTTCATCCTGAAAATGTATAAAATATTTATTATTATTTATGTTAAATATAAAAAATCATAAGTTACACATATAGTAAACTTGTAAACTTCTCTAACAGCATCGGTGGCTCAGTGGTCAAGCACTTGACTTGCAATCTGCAGGTCTTGGATTCGAATCTCGCCATGTACCAATGTGTTTTTCGATTTCCGATTTACATATGTACATTTATCCGACGTTCTTACGGTGAAGGAAAACATCGTGATGCAACCTGCACATATCTGAGAAGTAATTCAAAGATATGTGTGAAGTCAACCCGCACTTGGTCAGTGTGGTTGATTATGACCTAGTCACCCCTAGCTTAGTGTAGGCTCCGAGCCCCTCGGTGGGGACGTATAGTGAGCTGATGATAATACTTCTAACTGGTCTTTTGATACAAATAAGCTTAAGACCGGATTACTAATTGTTCTGAGTTTACTGACATTTATTGGCGACTAGCTGTCGCTCCTGACTACGTCCTCAAAGAATTAAAAAAAAAACACAATTAGTAGCTTATGTTTTCTTCCAGACTATGTTCAACATCTATGCCAAATTTCAGCAAGATCCATGCAGCGGTTCTGGAGATACCTTCAAACAAACATCCATCCAAACATTCGTATTTATAATATTAGTAGGATTACCTTTTCGGATTTTTTTAAAGCAGGATGTGATGATATTTTCTTTATCAGACTTAATACGGAGCTATCTAGCTTCAAGTTTTTTAGCGGATCCTTATCTTTTACTGGACTCGTCTTTTTCGGTGTATGTAATCTTCTTTCATTTGTGATTTTCTTCTTATTTGATGAGTTTGGTGTAATCCTTTTTGCTATGTTAATATTTTCCGGTGATGGAGTTTTTTCGGTGAATGAAATATCCTTGAAAACAAATAAAGTTTTATTAATATTTAAATTGTCATAAACAGATAAAACCATGGTTGTTAAATGCTATATATCGAAAAAGGGTCATTTCATCTGCATTGTTTAAGAATAATAATATGAACACGCGGAATGTAGTCCATCCATAGAAAGAATTTTTAACGGATCTTATGAAATTTTTATATCTGTGCAGAATTCATAAAGAGCCATAGTGAGGCGTTCAAGAGATCCCTACTAAACCTAACTTTAACATGATATAATGGGGGGACGGCGCGTACGCAGTCCCCACTACCAAAAATTACGCGTCCGAGTTATCCGCATTAGGGATAATCGCAGGGGTCAACCCAACCGCAGTGCAATGGAGGGGCCTCGCCCTGGGGGAACCGCCTTCGTGATCACGGTAACCCCTACGCCAGGTAAGTATGAGTTGATAGCGGCGCGCTGCTCGGGTCTTTCGCATCGCGGTAATCTCTACATCGCGATTTACGAAAACTCATGTATGTACAGCGCCATCTATCGTTAATACAATTAAATTCAAAGGAAACAAGATTTTGTTTTTAAAAAAATAATAAATTTAGTAATTAAATTATAATTGTATTACTAATAATAAATTATATTAACGATAATAGTGTTATTTATACTTTGAAGGTTACTTCAAGGATACTTTCTATTTTAGAAAACAGCACCATCTAGTGATTAAAATGTAAAATAACAATGAGCTAGACCTTGAGTTGTCGAATCTAACAAAGCTTATTTATATACACATATCTGTTGAAATGAGCATCCTCAATAAAAAAACACATAAATAAATATATTAACAGTTTAGCTCTCATTTTCATTTTATTGTACGTCTATAGTATTTTTATAGAATTATATATCAAAACTAGCTGTCGACCGTGACTCCGTCCGCGCGGGATTAAAAATAAATGTTGGCCGATTCTCAGACCTACTCAATATGCTCACGAAAATTTCATGAGAATTAGTCAAGCCATTTCGGAGGATTATGGGAACGAAAATTGTGACACGAGAATTTTATATATAAGATAATAAAACTTACCACATCCATAGCATCAAACATATCATTGCTTTGGTTTTCATCGAATTTTTCTATTTCATTTAGCTTATTTTGTGGTGCACTTCCAAAATTATTTATATTGCGCTTTGTTAACAAACTTGGTGATGTCCTGCCATTGGTCAATGAATCCTGAAATATTACACATAAACTATATGAATATGAAACATACTAGCTATCGACCGCGACTCTGTCCACGCGGAATTTCACAAAACTTAGTAGCCCATATATCTTTCTAGACTGTTCTATAAATGTGCCAAATGTCAGCGAGGTTCGTTGAACAGTTCCGGAGATACCATTAAATCCATCCAATCATTTGCATTTACAATATTAATAAGATGTGTATGAATAGATGCTTACTTACATCTTGCTTTTTGTTTTCAGGATTAGTTTTGAACGGTGGAGTCCCTGTAAATGAGTATTAAATCATTTGTTTAACACATACAAAACTATGAAATTGCATTCTTTCTGGTGGGAAAATGTACATATTGTAACATAAATTTAAAAAAATCAATTATAAGCTATTATATAATTAAGCACATTAATTTGAATGAAAATAATCCACTCAGTCACTCTATTCAATAAAAAAAACAATTTAGTAATAAATAGTCCCTATTCTATTTCAAATAATTGTGATTAAGTTTTAGTTGATTTTCTATATCTCGAAAGGAAAAAAACGGAACCCTTATCATTTTGTTGTCCATCCATCTTTCTGTGCCCTTTACTTTTTTTATATAAAAAATACTAACAAGTTGCATTTGTTGCAGCTGATGATGATGTTTTCGATTTCCAAACAAACTTAGATTTCTTCTCTGAGGCCGGCTCATTTGTTTCTCTGGAATATCCCAAAGGAAATACAATGAATCATAAATATTGCTGTCATTATATTGTTTATAAATATTGTATATATGGCATTGAGCTGGGATGTAGATTTGGTCACCATAACCAATGTTGTTTTGAGGAAAGCTGTACCAAACAATTTCTACTGTATTATAATTAGCTACAGTAAAATATAGGGCATTTTCATTTAACAATAAAATAGGCTAAAACTCATTGAGAAATTTACCCTCTTAGTTATTTATGTATTAAGAAATCAATCAATACTTAGTGATGACTACATTTTTATCAGGAGTAAACTGTATTTTAATGTACCAAAAAATTTTGTAAACTTTTAAAAATTGTGAAAAATATAAAAATCTTATGCAAGTACCTCTTGGTCTCTCCATTGTTGACTTGATTCTTTTTTACAAAATTCATTAAAGAACTTTGTTTAGCCGAAGCAGAAGCTTTTCTTGTTGCCATATTATCTTATAAAAACAAAACATTAACCTTTTAAATTATTTCCCGCTTTATTTATAAATGTTTTGTGTATCAGCTGACATGACATATAAAGTTTGACAACTGAAACTGAAACTGAATCTGACAGTAAAACTTTTAAATTCTCCTTCCAAAGCAAAGACGCAACACGATAAACTTCTCTTTCAAGCTCCATTTTCCAAACTTCTCAATATACACACCTTCAGGTCTCCTTTTATTTATTACTTAGTAAAACATGGTCAATCTCGAGCTTGCAATTTATTCTCCCAGTATTCCGTGAACGGGGTTTATAAGTAATATTTTTTAATTCCATTCCACTCTTTCCAATTTACATACCAAAATGGCAACCCTACGACAGTCCGACTCTTTGACAGCAGCTAGAGGAATGAAGTGAAAAGTGAACCGTAGATTTGTTTTGTTTCATATTGGGATATGTGATTTATATTTTTATCACAATGTCACTAAGGAAAGTTCTGTCCCTAACACGAGTAACGTGTTCTAGAGCTACAGCGCTACATTCTACATTTTATCCAAGACAAAATGTTTGCTTCCTCACTGCAAATTCAATGAGATACTATTCTGACAAAAATATAGGTTAGTATTTTTCCGACTAAAAAAACGATAAGTTGTATGAATTAAACACAACACAATAATATATGTAAAAATATGTTTCAATATTGTACGTTTTATATTGAAAAATTGCGATATCTTAGTTTCCAAAACGGTTCAACCATGCTAAAAAATTTAATTTTTTTTAATAGCATCTTATCAAACTAAATGTTTTGTATTGAAAAGTATAGGGTTTGCACATGGTGAAGAATTTTGTACAGTAGAAGATTTATGGTAAATTTTTCTAACTCAAATGCCTTATTGCAGCCTTGTGGTTATACATATTACAGGTTATATATGTCTACAGATTGGATTTCATTTTTAGTATCATATCTGTTCTATGGTTCTTTGGTATAAAAATTAAACTCTTAAATTTATCTTTTCTTCAGGGCAACAAAATAAAAATGAATCAGAGCCAGAAAAAGTTGATATAATTGGTAAACTGTTCCCAAAGGCAGCATTAAAGCCTGAAGATGCCCAAGAAATAAAAAAAGAGCAGGAAAAGTTTGAAAAAGAAAATAAAGAAAAGTCGGAGGAAAATGAGAAAAGTTGGAAGCGAATGAAGATTGGGTAAATATCTAGTTTATTCGTCTTATTTCAGGGACCATTGTTGCAAAAATGTACTGTAATTCCTGTTTTAAAAACCAGCATTAACAGGCTAATGGGTATCACAATTTTACGGTTATCACAAACCATCAGCTCATCTTTTTTGGAATGTTCACAATTATTGTTTTAAAATTTTTCAATATTAGATTTGCAGTGTTTGGTGGAGCTATGACTGTAATGGGTACTTGCCTGGTAGTGGAAATGGGTGCACCAAGACATGATGATGAAGGGAAGATAATCGAGGATGAGTTCTCAAATCTGCCAATAGTATTACAATATTTGAAACGAACATGGAAGGAGCTCACATTTTATGAGAGAGTAAGATATAGATACTTTTTACATTTTTAAACATGCCACTTTGTTAATGAAAAAAACATCTATCTGTTAATTGTCTCCGAAAAAAGGAAACTTTTTGAATATTTACTTCATTGGTTTGAGTAATATAAAATCAAATGATAGTTTTTAACCATGTTATTAGGCAATAATAAGTTCACAAAATACAAAACAAACACAAAGAAGGTTCACAATTAACATCTGGAAAATGTAAAACAACATAACAGATTATATAATGCTCTTTTAACAGCATCTTGTTGAGGTTTTTATGAGTCTATTGTATGTTACAGATGATAAAAGAGCCGTCCCGTGAGAAATTATTACCAGATCCCGTACCACCACCATACCAGCCAACTTACACTTTAGTTTTAGAGTTCACTGATGTTCTCATGCACCCAGATTGGTCATATCAAACTGGCTGGAGGTAATATTTTTTGTAATTATTGTATTTAATTGTCTCTTAATTAAGATATATGTATCTTAAGCTATGGCTTAGTGTTCCGTAAAAAATTAACACTGTTGATAAGTGACAAACAAGATATTAACACCAAAGAGTATTTACTTGAAATGTTTTAAACTAGAATTATTTACTGATAAAAATTAATCGTAGTTGTTCTCGTAAAAATAGTGCAAAAAGTATGTTCAAGAACTCGCTTAAGTGTTTCAGCACTTTCATGAAATACATAATTCCAACATGCATATGTTTTAACAACAATATCTATTTTATCAGGTTTAAGAAACGTCCTGGAGTTGAGCAATTCCTACAAACAGTGTCCAGTTCTAACTATGAAGTTGTAATATTCACTTCGGAGAATGTCTTTATGATCTGGCCTGTTCTGGACAAGTTGGATCCGGAGAACAAGTACATTTCATACAGGCTGTTCAGAGATTCTACACACTTTATTGATGGCGTGCATGTTAAGAACTTAGATGGACTTAACAGAGACTTATCAAAGGTATGAAAGCAGATATATCAAGGCAGAGTTAAAAATATAAGGCCGAGTAATTCTGCATATTGATTTCGGTTACTATCACTAGACCGATTTTTATTTATTTCTGCTGATTCATTTTTACTATTTAAGTGTAGGTTTTATTTTTAGACTTATTTTTACTTTTAGATGCATTATAAATGTGATTTTTTCTGTTTTGTAGGTGATTGTAGTGGATTGGAACAAACAAGCTATCAAATTCCACCCTCAGAATTCCCTCATACTGAAGAAGTGGAAGGGTAATGATGATGACACTGCCCTATTGGATCTCGCCAATTTGTTACAGAGTAAGTACAAAGTTAAAAAGAAAAAAAATTGAAGTAAGCAATATTTGAAATTTATGATTGATGTAGTCTAAGAGCCAAATCACTCTTAGACTATCCTTTACTTGTGTAGTCAAAAATCACAACCATATATGCTTATATTTTGACTAACCACTACTTACTTAAATGATTTGTAATTTATTTTTAAATATTTTCATATTTTTCTCATTTTCAGCCATTGCAATGTCAAATGTGACTGATGTAAGAGAGGTGTTAATATACTACAGTCAGTTCGATGATCCCATCGCAGCGTTCAGAGAGAACCAGAGGAAATTAATGGAACAGATGGAGGAAAAGGAGAGAGAGACGAAGAACGCAGAACCCCTCACGAGGAATTGGCTTCGGAGCTTCACTAGGCGTTAGATACTTGTCTTAACTGCTAAGAAACTTATTTAATTCGTAATTCGTATGAACTTTATCATTTCAACCAGGCAAATAATAAATTGGTGTTTTAATGTAGAATATAAACTATTTGGTTTGTCAAACATATTCAATTAGCTTAAAAATTTCTTTTTTTCCCGTCTGTAACCAGTTGGATTTACAAAACATTATTTTAAAAGTATTTTAAATAAATCTTAATTTTTGTCGGATAATATCCAGTTAATTTTATGATTTAACTCAAAACAAAATACTTCAATTCAATTGATTAAGACCAATTAAAATTAAATTTTAAAACATCCTATGCACTCTTAGTACTTACCATTTAACATAAATGTTCACGGATCTGGGTTTAGGCACATATTGGCTTTATAAAACTTTGTAATGAATTTCAATATAAATGTTCATTTTTGTTTGTTTGTTTCGTAATAATTTATATTATCACAAGGATCTATATACTAAATCATCTAGAAATAGAAAATAACAGATGAAAACTTGCTTATGGCTTAGAAATGCATTATTTATTCCATAAGTTACTTACTTTATTGAAATCTTCAAACACCATGTTTCTTTTCAAACTGATTTTTCGTAAATTTGAAATCATCTAGTAATTTACAACATACAAGCTGCTGCAATTTACAACATTTAGCTTTTGTATTTGAAAGAACTAAACATTTTGTCGCATTTTTTGTTATAATTAAACAGTTACAATTGTTTAAAATGCATTTTTTTTAATCTGTTACTATAATTACTTTGTACAAACTATTTTTTTTTCCTGTTTGACATAAACCTGTGTATAATTTAAATTAACCTGTTATGATTACCACAAAGTTGTCTGTTTGTATATTTACCTGGATTGTATTGCAGTTATATTTTGTCTGTCTGTGCGTATGTCTGCGATGTTTAGTCATTTTAGATATGTAATATAGTTGTTTAAAAAAAATTGTGTTTTATTTACTTAATGAAATCTTTATTTACTATGCAATCATCATCATCCTTAAATATGGTTATGAACAAGAATTAGTTTGGACTTTCATTTCAAATAACTTTAAAAAACATGAAGATAGAGGTAAATGAGTTCACATAAATAAAGCATTTTCTAAGGGTCTTATTTTTCATTATAATACTGTAAGGTTCCATACAATTCAAATTAACTACATCATTTGCCATCTTCATCACTGTCAGAAAAATGCAAATTAAGCGCAAACGAAGATTGATCGACCGTTTCTTCCAGTTTATTCGTCCACAATTCCAAAAGTCCTTCGTCCAAATCTTCGTTTTCAAAGATTTCAAAAATCTCATCTTCATTGCATTTAGACATTTCTCGTCTGTTATCCAAAATCTTGTATCCCTCGGGAACTTTCTTTAAATTCTTCCAGATATCTGCAATGTCAACTATGGATGTCACGACAAAATCTTTTTTGTCCAATTTGTAAGATTTACTCCATTCATCGAGACGTTGACAACTATCATCTTCCATAAATATTTCAAAATGGTTAGGGAAGATTGTATGACATGTAATATCACCTAAAGAATTTTGCATTAACACATCAAACTTTTCATCAAATTCCGTAATCAAACTTCCAGTTATAGCTGTATGAAGTCTCATGTCTATAGGATTATATAAATCATGGCATAATAATTTCTGACGGGCCTCTTTTAAGGTACTTATTATACTGGGAGGGCGGAATGGTATTGTAACATTTATTATGTCAGATTCTTTAGCTAGACCATCGTAATCATTTGGTACAACACACATATCCTCACACCATTGACTGCTAAGACAAACTAAATCTTTATTGTAACCGAACATGCATTTGGATATATATGTTGGTGGACATTGCATGCCATGGGTCCATCTGTTTATGGGTTTGGCTTTTTGATTTTGTGTATTGGAATACCTCATGTCCATTACAAAGAGGTGATGATCTGTACCAATGTAAAAATATGGAGTCTCAGTAGGTAAGGCACATGTGATATCATTGCATAAAAGTTCATCCGTCACATCTCTAAGGTCTCCCCATTGGTGGACAATGCCATTAGCTCGTTTATCATAAACAGTTATATATTTTGTAGATATGTGAATATAGAATCCTCTCTCGGAACTGAGGACAGTATTCCAATTGTTCTCTAAAGATACATTGGGTTCTAATTTTACACTTCTTCCTTTCATTCTGTCCAAGTTAACAATAGTAAGTTTATTATCCAAAGTGGTTACATATAGAATGTTTTTATGGTAACCATCAAAAGATATGTCTGTGTAGGGCATTTCTGATTGCACGGTTTTGATTTCCTCAAATTTTATTTCATCAGTGTCAGCAACAATTCTTAATATAAATACTTTATTCTTAGTCCGTAAAGCGACCAAATTCTGTGAAGACCATATTGTTTCTAGAATATTGATGCCTTCACCACAATCAAATGTTGCTACAGGGCTGTTGCTGATTGCTCTATCGTTTTTATTATAATCCGATAATGCTGAAAAGAAAATAACCTTGAATGAAATTTGCTTAAAATCAGAAAATGAATCCATAAATGAAAATTATGAAATACTTACATAATTTACTTAACTCACTATGTAGCAAGTAATCATTCCATTGTATACTTATGAGTTGTAAGTTCCCATGTCCTGCATAGTACCAGTTGTATGAACTATCGAAATGTGGATCTGGATCACTGTCCCAATGCTTTGCCATGTCTATTAAGTGTTTAGGACAATGCACAACATCATCATTTAGTACCTCGTATTTTGATAACATGTTGTTAAATGCTGAAAACAGAATGTTGATAGGTTTTCTAAACAAAATGGAAACAAAAAATACATTTTTTTTATGAAAGAAAGGGGGCTAACAAGCAGTGGTAACACCAAGGTGTTCATCAATGCACATGGACATCTATTTTAATTATATTCTATGTATATTTTTTTCCATTTTAATTTTTTTGTCCAGTGATCATGGCCAAAATCGTGAACATATTGTATAGTCACTATAAATTTGATAAGTTTGCAAAATTAAAATTGATCACGATTTCTCAATCAATTTGTTTAGTTTGACTCATACTTACTTGCTGAATATTTTAAATATCTCCATTGCCGCTGCCATTCATTTTTAGCTTTTATCAATTCTGTTATTGGATCAGTTTTATTTGAATGGTTTAACATGGTGAGAATTTTAGGTTTTGTACTCTTGTATGGAAATTGTTCAAAATAATTTGTGAACAGTTGCCCATCCCAATCATCACTGAATGCATTCAATGGATGGCCAGGTACAATGAAATGAAAGTTTGGTAATGTTTTCTTTGTTGAAAGCCTTTGCCTTATGTTGTAATTAAAAAAGCTATATGCTTGAATATTTTTATTACGCAAATCTTCAAGAATTTTCTTCACAGGAGCTGTATTGTCAATATTATCTGCCGTAAATTCCACTTCTTTTTTCTTTTTCTTAAACATTTGTAGATAAGCAATAATTTTTTATAGTAGTAATAAGTTTAACTGAATAATATATTTCAATTTAAGTTATTAGGGAATGTTGTATAATATAGCTTAAAAAATTTGATATTAAACAAAAAAATTACCTTCATTTTACCGGGTGTAGCCATGGTTAACTTAATATGTTCACATCACTTTGCAAGAAATATTTAAATTTTAGGTTTTATAAAATAGAAAAATACGTGATATTCCTTAAATGTACAAGTTTGGTAGCAAATTCAATTCGAGTCAATATTATTTTTTGCAATTTGCATTTGTTATTGCACGACATGTGCTATTGACATTGACAGTGAAGTAAGCAAAATGATGACAGGTGACATCTGTCGAAAAATGGTGAACAGATCCTAACTTATAAGAACAGAGGATATAAAAGTATTTTACACATCAAAGCAGTCAAACGCAAGTCAAACGTGCGAACAAAAAAATGGTGTGATAGTCAAATCCTTCTTTGTAATTTAAACAAATGATAGTTTTTTTGTGTTTGCTATAAAATAGTAAGAAAACATATATATCATGATAATTGAGCTCTGGAATGTATTACCTCTATCGATCACTATGATTTCAAAACAGCAATCAAGTTACTTTAGAAAGCGAGAATACGTCCATACCACATAAGTCAAAGAGACTTAAGGAAGTTCAAAGCAGGACGGTCAAAGATGCGCAGGATGCGAGAAAGGTGGAGATTTTCACTGTTGATGCCAAAGCCCACTTGGAGTCGTTGCGTCATTCTAGCAATAAGTTAAACTAATAATTCGAAATTGAAGACTACAACGAAAGTATGTATAAGAGGCATTATATCATTGAACCATCGCTTAACAAAAGTCGTATGAAACATGAAACAACTAAGACATTTCAAAATATATATTTCCACGTACATTTCATATAAATGTGTATATAAACGTACACATAAAATTTTAAATAGAAAAGACTATTAGATATACATAAGTATAAAATTGAATAAATAGGAAATAATAAAGAATACTGAAATAAACTGGATTTACGTAATTTTAACAATTAACGTTTTAAATAAGATAAGCATTAAGAACGATATATGAACTCCGGAAACGACAAGGCAGCGAAAACAGTAAACACTAAAATGGAATAAACAGTTACTAAAATATCTCTTTTCATTTTGAGAATATCAAATTCTTTGTGACCCTCGCGAACTCCTCCATTTTTTCTTTGAGCACTATTCTTCACATGTATTATTTCATATTTTCCATGATCTTTTAATTCATTTTTTTCTAAAATTTTGTGTTCTTCGATGAATTTGTTACATTCATCGTAATTGTGAATCGGAGTTACTTTAAAATTTCTTAAACAATAAGATCGATAATCATATAGAGATATAAGAGAATTACTAGACGGCTGACTTACAATTCCTGTCACAGAATTTTGTGGGTTTTTATTCGTCGACATTTGAGAGTCTGCATTCGTAATCAAGTCAATACATTCTTTATTTAGATTCGTATCAATTTCAGTAATTGAAATGGACCCTATTTTATTAAAGTTTGTAAGAAGTGATTGAGGGGTTTCTGTACATTCATTAACGCATTCTTTGGTGATATTTACCGCAACTTCTTTGTCAACACAATTTAATGCACTTTTGTTATTTTTTTTGGTTATATTATGATTTAAATCGACGTTTATTATATCGCTGATATTTTTATCAGGTTTATGTTCATGTGATTTTGATTTTGACAGTAACTTGTAAGGATTATGTAATTCCATATTCTGTTCTTTAGAAGCGTTGAGATTTTGATATTTTGTGATCTTTTCAATTTCATCCAACAATTCAACTAAAATATCCAACGAAGTCGTGTTCTCAATATTTTCAGTTTTTGCCATTCCCTTTTCATTCTCTCTAATTTTGTTTAAATTAAGCAGGGATTTTGTTTGGCCCGTACTCTTATCAACTTTTTCTATTTTAAAAATTTTGTCTATGGTATTTGAAAGATCATCTTCAATTCGTAAAGTTTGTACACCTTTCTCGTCATTGAAATATTCGTCATTTATTTTTTTCTTATTAGGACAGAAATAAGTTTGTATACCCATGCATCTACTGCCTGTAGTAGCACTACTTTCGATCGATTTAATTTCAATAGATTTTGGTTTGGAAAAGACATATCCCACTGTAGTTATGTTAACAGGAAATTTTGGGAAATACCGATCTTGAATGGAATCAAATAAAGGCATATTAATCATGCTTGTAATACTTTTATTTCTTCCAAAGTGTAATTTCTTTGATATGCGAGATTTCTCAATCATAGAATTTGCATCTCCACATTGCAATAGTAAAACTTGATTAGTAGACTGTTTAGGTGTTAGAGTTAATTTTTTTATTTTCAAACGCTTCGGAAATGTCCCTTGCGATATTTGGTTGTACAACGCCTTTTCCAAGCTATCGATTCGCCGAACAATTCCATTGTGCGGTATGTTTGTATCAGAATAAATAGCTTGAATTTCATTTTTACTTTCTTTCTTATAAATATCATTTGTTTCGGTGTTTTTATTAATATTAGAAACTGCTGTCAAAATATTTTTATCTTCGAAAACGTCGATAATGAAATCTGAACATATGGATATGAGTTCATCGTTAGAGGTCAACGTTCCGGCAAAATTATGTCTCTTTTCATTACAAGACATTGTTGTTTTGGACTCGGTAATAACAGAAAGGGACATAGCGAGTTCATTTTGTAATGGATCGTATTGAAGTTTATTTTCTCCTGTTGAATCATTCTCAAAACTAGACGTTGTTGCCACTGAAATTAAATTGAAAATAATTACAAGGAACTATGAGAAGTTAGAAAAATAAATACGAAAATGTAACAAACCACTACTCGGAGCATCTTTGGAGTGTTGAATAATTTGGTATGCAGGGAAATCGGTGGCTACTGAGGATTTTTGCTGCAAATTGCTTGATGTAACTGATTCAGACAATGTGAATGGCCGCTTTTTTGGATAAGACTCAAATGGTATCATCTTCTTTCTAAAATAACAATTAAAATTGTGGGCAAATTAGTAGAAAATCAATTTTCATGTAAATACATTATTCCAATATTTCAAATGACGAGAATTTAATGTAGACTTAGGATAAGTTGTAGTGTCAACCTTACAGAAATTCTACGACTTACGACGTACGAGGAGCCTCGGGGACAGGCCTTTGCTTGTAAGTGGGTGCAGGCATCTGAGGTACTACGATCTCTATTGGGCCGTTGTTTGGCATACGTCGTACTCTTTTATACCTGTCTGTAACTAAAATTAACATCATTTTTACTAGTTCCTAATATATCTCCAAACGTTGGACCGATACTGTCTTACCACATTATTAAGTTAATTCAAGTTTTAATTGTATTTATGTGTTTACCTTTAGGTGGGATGTTATTCGTTGTTTTGGAACTTGATACGTAGATAATGTCTTGCTCGTTCCTCCTTTGTCTTATGGGTCTTGGGGCTTGTGGAACTTGGGCTGGAGGTCCAGGAACATAATTTCTTCCATATCTAGGTTTCATTGCCTCCATTTGAGCGTTAACGTATGATTTCTTCGGCTGGGCCAAACTGTCCAGTCTCGTGAATTGTCTGGGAGGACCTTTGACCGCCTCTCCCCGCGCTTCTCTCAAGGCTTCATCAACTATGTCGATTACTTTTTTCTCCCTTTCAACGCCTTTATTCATATTACCAATTGGTTCAGTTAACGTCTTTCCTCGAACCATAGGATTTCTATATTGATTTTTTGTATCATTGCTAGATACATTTTTATTCGGGATTAATTTGCCTTCTTTATTTTCATTTTCTGCACGTGTAACTTTCCTTGGCAAATTAAATCGAGGTAAAGTTTTATTCTCAACAAAACTATTTGCTTTCCTATCCCTCGGTTCTGTTGCAGGTCTTTGTCTACCTTTTTGAATATTATCGAATTCATTGATCAAGTGAGAAATAGCTTTTAAAGGATTCTTTGAAATATTTTCAGGGCTATGAATTCTAACCCTTTTGTGAGGTTTCGTTTCGTTTTTCTCAGCCCTAATGTGGGGTTTGGAACTGATTATAACTTTAGTGATGCTATTCGCCTCAAGTCCGGATTTTTTGCTACCTTTGTCTGAGTAAAGAGCTTCGTTATTTTTACCTTCGAAGCTGAAAATACTAGGATTGGATTCGATCAGCTGACATTTTATACTGGCGCAGCTGTCAGCGTTGTCGACTTTTACTTTTTTCTCCTTAGCAGAATCGTTGAAACTCGTATCAGCTGGTGTAACTTTATGCGAAGGGTACATGGATTCCGAGGAGTCTACTTTACTTAATTTTCTCATTAATTCATAAATTTTATCTATACTTTTCTTACATTCCACTGAAGTGAGGGATTTCTTATTGGAGTTATTATTTATGTTTGAGTCGATGTTCTCGCGCGGCGTGTTGTATAACATTTCAGAACAGCAGCTCCTCGCTCGTCTGACAATAATTAAACATATTTTTAATTTAAAGTTCTTATTGTAGCTTATGAATATTCTTTAAACTGTATAAACGAATAGAGGCGAAATAATCAGCGATTCGATTTGAAATTAGGGTCAAATGACCGGTGCCGTCATTCTACAACTATACTATTTAGCAATGTTATTGCTATATATCCAAGGTTACTAAAAGAAATGTAACTTACTTCTCACTATCACAAGGTTCACTTTTTGGCTTTAGCTCCGACGTTGATGAATTGTAGGAAGCAACTCCAGCGAATGTATCAAAATTCGTGGTTGAGTTTGAACAGTTCGGTGCTTTATACTGTTTCCTATTATTTTTATGTTTATTTTTAAATTTCAAATTCATAACTTCTGTTTCAGGGTCGTCCATATAGTAACCGTAACCGACACGATTTTCTTTTTTCAAAATAGTTACATCTTTCACTGAATAATCATCGTTATCATCATCTTTGTCCAACGGATCGATGTGGGAATGTTTTACGGAATGGCTGCCGGTGACGCTTGTTTTATCGCCGTAAATTGAAGTATAAAAGGATTTATTAGTTATCGATAGTTTCGTTACAGAGTTCGAGGACTGCGCCATAACGGCCTTCCCGTGTTTATGTTTTGTCACTTTACAGTTTTCGCTGAGGGATTTTTTCTTTTTCTCCCTCCTCTCTCTTATTTCCAAAAGTTTTCGTCGTTTCTTTTCTTCAAGAATATGTGATTTGTTTTCATACGGCGACTTTACTCTGACTTTTGTAGGTGACTTCCTTTTAGTTAAGGACGTCTCCTCGGTCTCCTCCAGCACGACAGTCTGCGTGCCAAGCTTCTGTAATGTTGCAAAGAGATCGTCCGCCGTTGGTCGGAAACAAGATATTTGTGTTTCAATATTTACTTGATCGCTGTTACAATGTTTTTCGCTGGAGTAATTTGACGTCCCGTCATTCGTAGCCATCGTGAACAGCGAGGTTATTTCGCAAAGTGAGAGTTCCGAACTTTTGGTGCCCGAGGAACCACATTGAAAAGCAAAATCTGTCGAATTATCATCTCCTTTGGCGTAAGTATGCACTTTTATATCTTCTTCGTATTCATTAAACTCTGTCAGAGTTAATTGGTTTTGTACATTATTATTTATATTCGTCTCAGACTTTAATGAGTTAAATTCCAAAGGAAGCCACGATTCTGGAAACGTTAAGATATTAAAATAGCATATCAGACTCTTTATACTAAATTCGACAAAATTTGGACCATCTTACCATCTTTTATGCTCTGTAAACTATTTCGGATGACCAGCACTGATTCAATTTCGCTGCCTAATTTGTCATTGTTGGAAGATTTGAGTTGCACTACTATGTCAATCTGTGATTTACTGCCGTCGCCTCTCGCTGCCAGCTCACTTTCCTTCTGACACGTTATAACCAAATTATTTTCGCACCGTTTGTCGAGAAATGTGAACGAACCGTAAATGAGTCTCGGAATTTTAATGATTCTCTTCTCAAGTATCTTCGTTAATGATCTGATGTCTAACTCCGAGTGTATAAAATCGCGCCATCTCGTCTTAAAAGCGTCGACGTTGCATTCGATACGTAAAGGGTTACTGCTCACACTAGCTACCTTTACAACTTCATTGTTTTTTCGATCTTCAAACTTGTTCCCTAAAGTTTTCCATTTTTCTTTAGCTTTTTCTGTCAAATAGTCTCCATTGCTGATACGTCTCAATTGTTCAATCGTACGTCTGGCGTATTGAATGATGTTGTCCATGTACAAATTAGAATTGTCATCTAGATTGTTGCAGCAAACGAAATCTAAAAGGGACGTCGAGAAAAATGCACCATCGAATGTACCGAAACTTAACATCCTGTTAAGAGAATTAAATTGTTCCTTTCTCAAAGGACTTTTAAACAAAATTCCGTCAGTACAATCTGATCCATGATCCGCCTGGATGGCTATGTTTCCAAATTTTTGACACAACGTTTTATCTAAAGATGGGAAGCTATTAATTAGGTCTATTCTCTCTTTGTTGATTAACACAACGTCATAGAAGTCTTCATTGGTGTAGAATTCACTTTCGCTGCCTTCCGACTCCTGGTCTTCATTGTACACCACGGTCTCCACGTACTGGTTCGGAGGACGAACTGAATTTTTGTTATTGGAAGTCTGTTTCGTGTCAACATTTTCGTAAAGTGTTACCAAATCTCTTTGCACAACGGTATTTGTATCTGTAATTAGCAAACGTGCTAGATAATTTTTGATAAAAAATAAATACTAATGTTATTGTTATATTAATTGTTGCTTATTTACGTTCAATGTCACAATATTTTTCACCGGCCCCGCTCCTGTCTTCAGATAAATGACTAATCTGCATTATCACCCACACAGATTTCACATTACACGATTCAAAATTAAATAAAACGAAATTAAATATTACAAAGATAAAATAAATGCGTACAAAAGACACTGCTAAATAGTGTCTAAAATTTTTAAGTCAACATGTTTTAAAAATGTTGTTTGTAACATGTGTCATGTGATTCATATTTGGAACGGATCGTATCTGTCAATTTATAAACCAGTGTCAATTTTTCTCTATCATTTTATCATCTTTTTAATCTGATCTATACAGGTAAAAAATAAAACCTTTAAAAATTGTCATTCTCACACAATGTCTTTGAAAAACGTGTTCAAATCACGTCGGGGTCACCAACATGGGTTTTCTTAGTATAGTAAACGGATTCCCGTGTACATTAACTGCGTTGATAACATCAGCAACAATAATAAAACAACAGTACGATGCACGAGTATATTAATTAAAAGAGCTACAGTGTTACAATCAGTTCGGTCTCGTTAGTATTTGTAATTGACAGTGTCCTTGGCGCGAGAAACGCGGAAGCCAATCACAGAGCGAGTTTTTGCTACCTGGCTTTTGCGCCACATAGAGTATATAACTACGTCATCTTTAGAAACTAAATGCGCATTTTTATTAGACGTTATTGCCCACAGGCGCTTGGTTAACCCACACAGAATTGGTAAACTGAGTTCCCGTACGCCGTGCTTGACATCGATGGATGACTTTAATTGGTTGTTAATTCGTATGCGGGGATTCCCTGACCTAAACGTCCGAGTAAATGACTACTAAAACTGCGTCTTAAAATGGTCGTGTAATAATTATGGCAGTCAAAGGAATTGCTCGAGTGCTATAAAATGTATTGTTCTACAATTTTACATAGACACGATGCATGTTTGAAATAAAACATTATGTTGATGTTTAATTTATTAATTTTATTATATAAATATATTAAGTACTGTGCAACTTAAAACTATATACATTTTCAATTGGAATGATATAAATAGTGGAGATAATATGAGTAAAACATTAAAAATTGAGATGATTTCAAAAATTAACAAGGAATGTTAACATTATATAAAATAGGATAAAAACAAAAAAAACAGACATTGAGATCTAGAAGAAACTAGACTTATAATACTAGAACATTACATGACGACTTCAAGAACTAACGAAAATTAATTTGAATTTACCATCTGTGAGTAATTGTTATTTTAGTTTTGTGTTTGAAATAAATATAATACTTATATGATTAAACTATATAACATGTGCTGCTAAGCAGATTAAGTTTAAATAATATCAGTAATATTCGAAAGTTGAACGAACAAATTATTTTCAACATTATTTAGCAACTATTTTGTCTAGTTGTAGTTCTCCATAGCGTCAGCCAAAATAATATGGTCTTAGACCTCGTTTCCACTAAGGTGCTATATCTGTCGGTCGTTGCCTCATCAGTGGAAATAGATATTGGGAATGTAAGATGTTAGAGATGTTATGCAGGTGGTCGGAACAGCGACTCGAGCAGCTCGGGCTCGGTGAGGTCGCGCCGGTACTGCTGCGCGATCTCCTGGATCATGTGCCGCCGGCGGACGTGCGGCGGCTGGTACCTGTGTTATGTATACACGCATATTTAAATAGATACGCACACATATATAGAAAACATAATAGGTAAAATAAATTAAAAAAAAAAAGATAAAAGATGAAGATGAAGATTTTAAATTTAAATGTACTTAAAAATAAAGGTGATTTTTATTTCGACACTATCGCCATCTAACGGTGACAAGTTAAGTTCGTTTGGAATAACTCACAGCTCTGCCTGTAGTCGCGTGCGGCGGGCGAGATGTGTGGCGGCGCGGCGCAGGCAGGCGGGCAGCGCGCGCGGCGCCACCAGCG